CTCCATATGTCAACTGAATTTTCTGTTGCAAGTGGCAACCTCAAGGACAGTTCACCTAACCGAGCGCGATTTCCAAGAGCCCACTAGCTTAATCCGGGTCACATAAAATGTGCCATTGCACTAGGGCACTTTGGTTTTGTGTCTCTTTCTTTTCCTGTCTACGGGATCCATGATCACTCCAGTCGCACATGATCCGCCAATTTTCCATCCCCAATTTCTCAGTCATGGACCTAAGAGACACGAGAAAAGTAAACTGGAGCTGGTAAGAACGTGACTTTAGTGCCGGACGTTAGTGATGGAAGTTTGAAGCCACTGAATTTAATTTGAATCGTATGAACTATAATTTGCTTCCATTATGGATTAATTTTGGAAATGTTTTCCTATATTTACCTTGTTGGACGTAACATTATGATGAGGAAATATGTCTCTTGCTGCTTTCGTTGTTGGAAAAAAATAGTCGAGATTTAGGAGGACACTAACTTTTACAATGGAGGAATGAAAAAGGATTTTTAGGGCTTTTGGAGAGAAATAAAAACAAATGATTATTATTTATTATTAAACTTCAGGGTTTAGGTGTAATCATGTATCGACATAACATCTTAAACATTCCCATGGTTCAGCAGGAAATTTTTTCTCCTTCATTTTTGCAGTCTTAGTCTTCACTTGTCATGAGTTGAAACTCACTTTTTTACGTATAGTGTAAGTATAGTATTCTCCTGCATATTCAGGCGTAAAACAGCATGTTTTGTTACTTACAGTTCGGGCTGTTTCTGAGTGTTTTCCTCATATCTTAAAAAGGACATTATAGTTTGACAATTTGTCTTAGAAGGCCTCCGAACTTGATATTGAATTTGTCCCCTCTATACTGAGGCGGCAAAAATTTAAATGGAGATGTTGCATGTGTGAGGGACCAGAGGGACCTGCGATTTGACAATTGATTCTTATGTTAAAGTTCGCGAGAAACACGATGGTGCCACTGATTTTCTCTGAAATCAACTCCCAAGCTCAAAAAGAGCTCTCAAGTTGAGGCCAAAATGGAGGGGATATTCCACGCTATCCTGAGAGTCCACGTCTACATCAAGACAAACTCTCCATGCAAAGATAGGGAGCAAATACATTGACAGGGCTGTCACTTTATTTGAGGACTCTGAAACTGAAAACACGGCAACCCTGCTAATGTATTTGCTCCTTATCTTCGCATGGAGAGTTTGTCTTGATGTAAACGCGTGGACTCTCCGGATAGCGTGGGATATCCCCTCCATTTTTGCCTCAACTTGAGAACTTTTTCTGAGCTTGGGAGTTGATTTCAGAGAAAACCAGTGGCACCATCGTATTTCTCGCGAACTTTAACACCAGAATCAACAGTCAAATCGCAAATTCCTCACACATGCAACATCTCCATTCTGGCATGATAGTAATTATAATATCGTAATCTATGTTAACAGTACATCTATTCATCTACTTCTACACAGAATCTGAGTCGTTAAGTGGGGGCTTGTGGCTGGCGAGGATCAGGTCAACCACCGCGAGAGCGTGGACATGAGGCCAGACAGACGCCGGGATTTTTCGGCACTTATCCCGATTTCGCGGTCGGCGTTTTTCGCCGCACGATCCCGCTCGCTCCCGCGTCTTCCTTATCATCTGGAAGCGCGCGCCGCGCAGTGGGTCGCCATCGCGGGGCGCGCGCGCAAAAAAGCGAGATAATGATATCGATAAGTGGTGCGCCCGTTGCTCGGTTATGCATGCGGAAGCGGCCGAGGAAAGTGGGCGACGCGATGGAGGAGGCGCGCTTGCACGAAAAACGGACGGAAACCAGGACTCGCTTTACTTTTTATTGGTGTTTTTTGCTTTGTGAAAGGCAGAGGGGGTCCAATTCGGAGTAAACAGATCGGAGTAAATCTATCGTTTTGTCTCAGTTGGAATTGTAAGTGAGTGACACTAATTTCAATAGTTTTACTGTATTTTAAATATTTAAGCTCTAACGCGGTTAGGAAACCGGGGGAACGCATAACAGGCACCCATCAAGCGTTACAAAAATTCTATACTTTCTTTCATGATTTCGCTGGAAAAAAATATCACAATCCCAACTATACTTCTGGCTAATTTTGGCGCCAGATATAAGAGTAGTTAGCACTAGCCGACTAGGTCCTTGATTGGATTCCACCTGGGAGAAGACGCAGAGGGCGCCCAATGAAAGTTTGGAGGGAGGGGATTGAAGCGGAAATGTTAAGGTGCTCAATGCCCCAAGATTTGTAGTTCGACAGAGAGCAGTGGAGGTTAGGAGTCGTAGAGCGCGAGGGAGCGCTGTAAGGCGACCTATATGTATGTATGCACTAGCCAGAGGCATGGTTGATCCAACAACGCTTGACTCAACCGTACCTCTGACGGGTGCAACTACTCTTACATCTGGTGCCAAAATTGGCCAGAAGTATGGTTGGGCTTGTGATATACTTTTTTCCGTGTTGTTGTCGAAGACCTTATAGACACTTGAGACAAAGAACACAGTTACATATAACTATTTATGAGGAAAAGTTCTTATCTTGACATTTTTAAAATAAAAAAGACAGATATGAGGAGTAAAAGACAAATTTAAAATGAATGGTCATCTCTCACTCAATTGCTTCTCACAAATTTTTTTCGCACAGATATGTTTTTAAGCAAAATATTGAGTATAGAATGTGGAACACGAGTAAATAGCTGAATAACTGTGATGAAGCAACTTGGTGCAAAATTTAACGAACGGTTTTCATGTAAGGAGTAAAATAATTCTACAAGAAAAGTGAGGAAAAAAATTATCGATTGCTTCCCTTCGCAATAGTGTAATGCAAACTGAATATGCTGGCCTCCCCGGCAAGGTTCATCGTACCGAGCAGAAACTTCATCGCTCTAGACGAAAGCTCCAAAAAAATAACCCAACTACATATACACAGAAACTCCAGCAATCGTTTTTCCCTCCAACTAAAAGCATGATTTTAAAAGTTACCATACAGCTGAGATGAATATCAAGGTAATGTCCGTTTTGCAAGCAGTTTTGCTCAGCCCAATTCTTGTGATAATCGCAAAATGTTTAAAATGTAGCGCTGGCAGGTTATAGTAATTATTAGTTCTCAGTTATAATTAGTTATTTTTTATGCTTGATTCCTTTTATCTCGCTGAATTTCGATTTCCCTTGGGCTTTGATCAGACCGAAAAAATTCTAAATACAGGGATTGTCATATCTCATAATTTACAATCAATAATTGCATATTATTTATCAATATATTGTTAAGAACAAGCGTTTTTGCAACCAGCTTGGATGATGCCTTGCCTTCTTTCACGAGTAATGCAGGCCACTTATTTACCATCGTTTTTTTATGCAACCATTGTTACTTTAAAAATTGTATTATGAGTTCAGCTCCTTGTTTTTCATACGAAAGAAAGAACTACGTTTAAACGTTGCAAATTTTTCACTCGGAAATATTCCCTTCTTTTTTTCTTCTTCTTTTTTTACCAAGAGACCATTAGGAGATCTTAACTGAGACTTTCGCAGATTAATTCACGCAAATTCAGAAACTTTTCAACAGAGATTACAGCTTTATGCTTGTCAAAAATTAAGTTGTTGCAGTCGATTTTGAAACCACTGAATGAATTTAAATTGACAGCTCACAAGATGAAAAGTTTGAAAATATAAAGAGACACTTGGCATCCAAGAATTTTTGAATTTTCCAAAATTTGAAACCTCATATCGCATCGCCACGAAGTTTGGTTTTGTTACAATGCACATGGGAAACCCTAAAGCTAAAATAAACCTACAGGTGTACAAATGGCAGCCGTGCTATGCACTAACATACCACTAGCTACATTCAGTTTGATTGTGAGACACTCTTCAAAGCTTTCAACGTCAATAAAAAAAAACCTTCAATGGACACAGAACCTCCCGGAACAGAACCCGTGTTTACTCCAAGAAAATTTTCAATCAATGTTTGCTTTCCACTCGGATAGCCGCGGAGAAATGGGCGAGTGCTCAGCGGCCCAAAAGCGCCCCTTGCCCCCCTCCGGCACCAAGGCTCCCCCCACGGACAGGGGGGCGGCTCAAGTGACAATAGCTACTGTTGTCACAGAACTGACACTTTTCTATACCGTGCTCCTCTCTGATTTGATCTCTCTCTTTGCGGGACAGCGGTCGGTCTCTCTCTTTCCTTGCGGCTTTTCCGTCACTCTCTCTTTCTTCACGCGCGGTGTTCTCTCTCCACCCGTGTCTTCTGTCTCGCTTTTTGAGGGTTCGCTGTCTTAAGTGAGCCGGGTTTCGATATGCTTCATCTCGGGCAGGTCTCGAACCGTCAAAAACACTATCAGTTTGATTTTACGGTCCAGAGCGGTCGGAGCGGAGTGATGTGGTCTTCGCATGCTAATTCGAGCCCCTCGCGAAGTGGATTGAAGTGAATGTTGACGTTCAATTGAATCAAAACGCAACTTGAATCGAAATAAATTCAATTAACTCAAAATAAATTGAAAATGCGATAAATTAAGACAAAAAAGATATAATAATTTATACTAGTTCTTGCGGCTGATCAACATGTTCTAACATAGCTAACACAAGCAATTTTTGTGAAAAATGTGAAGATAGTTTTCATTTCAGTGATTCAAAGCTTGTTCTATATTTTATCTGTTTCGTTAGTGAAGTAATTATTTTTTCTTTACATGGAAAAAAATATCATACGCAGTGCTAAGTTTTGGAATTATTGCTGTTTGCGATTATTATACACGAAAACGACATCGTGAACGTGAATAAATCTCCGTATCTTTAAACTGCGTGTTGCTTATGGGTTGAGTAATATTACAAAATCAACTTTCTGCCTTCATGCCGAGTTAATGCAAAATGCCAATTTAGCGAGCGTCAAAGGTGCAAACAATTCGATGAAAAATCGCGCGTCGAACAGAAAGTAGCTTTTCCTCCCCGAGGAGTTTTCTCTGGACACACGGGAGAGCACACAATGACCGAGTGAATCTCCGCGTTGATGATGTATGGTGATCACTGCTTCGGTAGAGCGCGAGTGAAGTTTGCGTTTGTGTTCCTGATCCTGCTTCTGTACTTGAACCATGCATCGGGCGACGAATCCCTCATCCCGGACCAAATCGCCGAGGAGGCACGCGACTCCAGGCCGAGCGTCGTTGTTTGGCCGAACACCCCCAACCCGAACGTAACTATCGTCAGTGCTACTCGCGAAGCGGGGGCGAACTACACGCTGTCGGCGTCGCCCGCCGAATTGGACCCGGTTCTCGTGGACGGCAACTCCACCGAGCACCGGAGGGTGAACCGGAAACCGGACGAACCGGAAACGGCGGAATCGAAAGTACGCAATGGAGTGTCCGCACCGGAGAAGAGCAAAACCGGGGAGTCGAAGAACCGGCCGGAGGTAACCGGTTCAGAGGGTGACCATCGGAAATCCAGCGCGGAGGAGGGTTCCGGACGGCGCCGGAAACCGGATACGACCGAACCAGAAACCGGTAATCGCGGGAGACCGGAAGAGGGTGAAGTGGCGGAGACGCGGAAGTCGGTTCGACGTCGGAGACCTGGCTCGGGTTCGGGCGAGTCAGGGGAGGACCCGGAAGGTCCGACAGTGCCGGCGGACGAGTCGGAACCCGCGGTCCGAAAGTTCAAGTCGGAGCACGAGGATCCGCCAGAAGTTCCGACGAAGGTGGATTTCAACGGGAGCATGGCTACCCCGCCGCCCGGTTCCGGGATCAAGCTGGACTTCGTTCCTCGTCAGACTTACGTCCAGGTGCGACGCACGGATAGCGTCAAGCGACTGCCCCAAAGCGCCGCCTACGCAGCTGCCAAAACACCCGAAGAACGGGACAACGCCGGCAGACTGAGGGAAGTCGTCTCTCATAAGAAGTCGCAAGAGGTAAGCTTCACTAAGTCTCTACTCAATGTTCCGGACCATTTCGATAGTGAAACTACCTGACCACGTATCTCGGTTTTCGACGTTGTAGACTTCTTGTCATATATGTATTTAATTTTTCAATAGAAAACTAATCAACGTCAATTCCGAAAAATTTCCGTGTTTTTTCTTGCATATTCGAAGCCACCCCTGGAAAAATGTCAAGAAATGATATTGATTTGTTTTCCTTCGAACAAATAAAATGTGAGCGGAGATTTTTAAACACCGCAAACGAGATACGTGGTCTGGCAAATTCACCGTCAATTTGCTTTCAACCTTCTACGACCCTGAGTTTTCAAAATTTGTATAGTGCTTCAATCCTAAGTCCATTTTAACTTTTCGCATTTTCGCTTTCCATATCGTCAAAAATTGCAAAACAAATTAATCTCCTTTTGGCAGCATGAAATAGAACATTAGAGCTCGCCTACAAGTCATTCAATGGTTTCAGTGCAGCGCTCAGGTGAATCAAATTAGAACTTGAGATGACCGGTCGATTTGCCACCAGGTCTCTAGCACACCTAAAATAAATCGCAAAACGTCTTCCCTTGGAGACTTAGGAGGTTCTACCGTTGTGCTTTCCGGGTACATCATCCGGTGACTTGCTTCTACCCGGTCGGATTTGAATCTACAAAAATCTGACTCGACAAATGATGAAAATTCGTTGTGGAAAGCTTAATATTAACAAATAATTTCTTTGTTCTTGAAAATTGCATTTGTCAGCCTCAGTGTTTATGCTGATTTTAAGGAGAGATAAAATACGACAATACAACTCATAATATGCGTTCCTCAGCTGTGACCAAACGCCCTATCGTTTGTGCTTCCTAGGTCGGTAAACTTCGGAAGTTTAAATTTTTTCCTTGAACAACTCGCTAACAAGAATGATCTATCACCAAACCAAAAGCAAATAGGAAGGGAACAGTGTAGTGCGTTCTTTTGACAATTTGAATGAGAATAATTGATGAATCCCGATTTTTTATCTGCTTAAGAGTGAAAAAATTATAAAATACGAAATGCGATGGAAAATGGAACTAAACGTTTAGAAAATGGGGATTTTCCATACATAGTTGGAAAGATATAATCTACTCAATAATTTGGAGCCAAAAAATGTTCAGCAAATTATACATAAATATTCCACTTTATGAGTTATTTCCTCATCAAAAATTGACCTTTCATGATGGAAAATTATGAAATGTTCACACTGAATTGGATTCCATAATGCATTTTTTTTTTTTTTTTTTTTTTTTTTTTTTTTTTAAAAAAAAAAGGAATTTGAAAGAAGCTTGAAGTGAGGTAAAAATTATCTTTTTCGGAACTCCCCAAATTGTTTGGGCTTGTTAGGTCACTACTGCATTTTATCGGAGAAAAACTTATATTATTAAGAATTAAACGCATATAGAGCTTTGCGGTAGCATGATGTGCTTACGTATAGTTTGTCGTTCTGCTAACGTTAGGGTGTATTTCTATTTGTAAATGAGCCTTTGAAAGGGAAGAGTTATACGGAGAATAAGATTCACATCAAAATTGATGCACGCCCTAACGTTAGTGGAGCGACAAGTTTTGCCAGAAAAACCTTTTGATGAGCGATGGCAAGGCACTGGCATCGGCCCTTAGCTGTGGTGTGCATCTGCTTCATTGTTAGTTGGCATGCAATTTATTGAATCTTTTTAATAGACTAATAACTGCTCTTAACACGGGTACAGATCGGAGAGAATCGACACACAATTGCAATTGTACACTAAGCTAAAAGAATTTTTATGCATCTCACAATCAGCTGCAACATTGACATTTATCACTTGTTTTGCTAGTTGGAACTCGGATTGTGAACACTCACCGCCTGATTTAGCCTGATTGTATACTTCACGGTTCGCAATTTTACGTTCTTGGTGACGGTGCAATTCCCGGGGGACATAATTTGCGGTTTTTCCTAACGGTCAAATCTCGTTTCTACTCCCTACTTAGATACAAGCACTTG